GTTCCCGGTATTCCCGTGCGGGGGGGACCATCGCGGGGAGTCGGGGTTCATCGCCAGCGAGGGCTTCCCCCGGCATTACCCCCCCGGCAGCAACTGCACCTGGACCATCACGGTACGAACCCCCGGGGCACCCCGAAACCCAGGGACACCCCACCTGCCTGCCAACCCCACCCCGCTCACCCCGACCCACCCGTGTACATCCCAACCCCGCCTGGCGCACGCCAAAAAGCTGAGGTTTCCCCTCGGCTGTCCCAGTTCTTCCCCTCCTTGTGTCCCCAGGTGTTCCCGCATCCCGCGAGAGGCTGAGGGACAGGTGGTGGCACCGCTCTGTGTCTCCCGTGTGTCCCCCCCTTATGTGACTCCGTGCCACCCCCAAGAAACCCAAGGGGGGTAATATGCCGATGTCCCCAGGGTTCCTGATGTCCCCTGGTGTCCAGCCTGGCCCTTCAATGTCCCTAGATCCATGAAGACCAGGTGGTGACACCCCAAAGTGTCATCTGGGGACCAGGTGGTGTCAGCCCAAAGTCCCCAAAATCCCCACCACCTCCCAGCTGCCCGAGGACTGGGTGGTGACCCCCCAATGTCCCCTAGGTCCCCGAGGGCCAGGTGGCCACCCTCTCCTTCCGCATCTTTGACCTGGAGCCGGACCCTCTGTGCCGCTTTGATGCCCTCTCGGTGTTCGGGGGCCACGGCCCTGGGGCGCCGCTTTTGGGGCGCTTCTGTGGCACCTTCCGCCCGGGAGCCCTTCGGGCACCCCAAAACCGGCTCCGGCTGCACATGGAGAGCGACGGCGGCACGGCTGGGAGGGGCTTCCTGGCCTGGTTCAGCGCTGGCAGCCCCCCGACCAACGGTGGGTGAGAGAGGACCTGGCGGGGAGACCCCCCAAAAAAAAACCAAGGGGGAGGGAGCACCGCCGGCGAGGAGTAGGGACAATCCCACGGGGACACCCCCAAAACCACCCAAAGAGATCCCTGGAAATGTGGACGACTACAAAACCTTATAGCAACAACCCCAAAGTCTTGTAGAAACCCCAAAATCCCCCAAACCCCCAAGGAGACCACAAAAACCGTGTGGGCTGAGAGGCCAAAACCCCTTCCAGGGGGTCCTGGGGGTCCTGGAATGAGATGGAAAAAGAGGGAAAAGCTGCGGAGGGCAGAGGAGCTGTGAAGCTGGGAAAAGTGTGGAAGAAAACAGTGGGAATGAGGAGAAAGTGTGACTGGAAAAGGAGGGAAACGTGTGAAACTGAAAACAGAAGGGGAAAAACCCTGATGGAGAAATGGGGGGGAAATGTGAGAGGGGAAAAAAAAAGAGGGAAATTAATGAAAAGTGTGAGGAAAAAATGGAAAAGGGTGGAGAGAAAATGGGAGGAAAGTGTAAGGAGAAAACAGGGAAACAAGGCAAAAGTGCAAGGGAAGAAAGGAGGGGAAAGCTGAGGAGAAAAAGAGGGGAAAGTGTGATGGGATATGGAGAAAAATAAGAGGAAAAGAAAAAACGAGCATGGAAAACTGAGAAGAAAAATAATTCAAAACAAAACATAATAAAAAAAACCCAAACAGAAAACAGAGGGAAGAATGAGTGAAAAGAAAGGAAAAGTTTGAGGGAAAAACCAGAGGGAAAAATGGAGCAAAGTGTCAGAAAAAAATGAAGGAAACTGGCACAAAATGGAGGCAAAAGCTGAAGGGAAAAGGGGGACAGGGAGCACAGCTGATGGAGAGCAGGAGATCCCCAACACCCCTGTGGACACCCCCCAAATCCACATGGAGAACCCCCAAAGCCACATGGAACATCCCACCCCCCCCAATCCATCAAGGAACCCCCCAAAATCCCTTGGAAACCCCCGTGGAGGCCCCTGAAACCACCCGAACCCACTCAGGCCCCCCCCAATCCAGCCCAACCCTTTTGCAGGGCCCCCCCAGGGACGGCGGCGTTCGGGGGTCTTTAATAAACCCCATTTTTTCGGGGAGTCCTGGCACTATTTTGATGGTGAGTACGACCCCCCCCCAAATTTACAAAAACATTCCCGGGGGGGGGTCATGCTCCCCAAATTCCATTTCCTCTCCCCAATCCCAGGGTGGTTTTGGCAGAGCCCCCCTCCCAACCCCCCCCGAATTTTGGGGGGTCTCAGGGACAGAGAAGATGCCGGCGGTGTGGGAAAATAGGGGGAGGGGTGTGTCCAAACGTGTCTGTGCCCCCCCAAAAATGTCACCCTGCCCTGCCCACTCCCCCAGAGCATCAGTTTTGTGGTGGGCGGCTGGAGAAGCCCCAGGGGAGCCTGAACACCCCAAACTGGCCAGAGGAGAATTATCCCCCCGGGATCAGCTGCTCCTGGCACATCGTGGCCCCCCCCGACAAGGTTTGGGAGGTCCTGGGCGAGTCAAAAGGGCGGACGGGGGCTTCAGAGAGGGTTTGAGGGGGGTTGGGGCGACACTGGGGTCGTTTGGAGGTGTCAGGAGGATTTGGGGAAGTCGGAGGGGATTTGGGGGATGAGGGGGGTCAGGAGGGCTTTGTAGGTGTCGGGGGGGGAGGCTG